AATTTAATGTCAAGTTGTCACGACAAAGACACTGACAGGTTATGATGTTATGGTTTATGTCAAGGTGTCATAACAAAGACATCTCAAACAATGTCATATTTGCATTCAAAATGTCATTATAGAGCGAAAGACACTTAATGACAGTTGTCATAAACATGCATAAACCCTATTTCATATTCATGACATATGTCATGTCATGGTTATGAAGGTGTCATGTCAGTCTTATGCACACCCCTTCAAGTAAAGTGTTACCTAATAATAATAATGCATTTTATTTCTAATGCGCTTTTCTTAGACTCAAAGTCACAAAAAGAGAATAACAACAATAAGATACAATAAAACAAACACATTCAGTTGCAATAAGCAGCTCTAAAGATGTGTCTCATGTTGGAGAGTCTGTAATTCCCGATGGTAGAGCGTTCTAGACGTGGCGCTGAGACCGGAAATGCTCCACCACCCATAGATTTTAAACGGTTAGTTCACCCAAAAATGAAAATGATGTCATTAATGACTCTCCCTCATGTCGCTCCAAGCCCGTCAGACCTCCGTTCATCTTCGGGACACAGTTTAAGATATTTTAGATTCAATCCGAGAGTTTTCTGTCCCTCCATTGTAAATGTGTGTATGGTATACTGTCCTTGTCCAGAAAGGAAATACAGACATCATCAAAGTAGTCCATGTGACATCAGTGGGTTAGTTAGAATGTTTTGAAGCATTGAAAATACATTTTGGTCCAAAAATAACAAAAACTACGACTTTATTCAGCATTGTATTGTCTTCCGGTTCTGTTGTGGATCCGCGTTCAGTGCCGCCGCTGACGTTTGTTAGCATGGCAGGCTTGGCAGCGATAGAAAAGATCGCAGTCTAGCGATATTTCCTAGATGGAAGAATGCCGTTTTCGATTCCATTTTAATATGAGCATCGAATATCAGTTCTGGGTCAAAGATAACGCCAAGATTGCGCACTTGAGAGGACGGAGTAACAAAGTCATGGCCAGTTATCAAATTTGAACTGTTAAGTTAATAAATATGATATTTTCCACTTGTGAACTGGTATTTACCAGTGTGTTGCGTTCAAGTGCTTTTGTTGTCGTAATAAAAAGATGGAGATCCAGGCCTGTTATTTATCTAAAACTATTTTAGATTGCTTAAGTCATCTGCTACAGCAAGAAGATGATTTATCAAAACCACAACGGTAAATAATATGCTGTATATTTTCTAGATCATGAATAGTGTATATTTTTACCATTCACGACTCTCGCGTTGCTCTCCGCCATTTTGAAAAGGTCAGAGGTTATCTCATCTCGGCAACTCGTGCATCAAAATATTCTACGAGCTGCCCAGTGGAAAATACCACATGAGGGGGTGTTCATGTGCATTTTCCACGTCGGCTTTTGGTATTTACCATAATTAACGCACCATAAGTAAAGCCGTTGGCGTACCGACGAATAGAAGTTCTGTTTTGGATTCGTTGAGCTTGAGAAAATTGTCATGCGTCCAGGCTTTTATCTCATCCAAGCAGGTGGGAAGAGCTGTAACTGCAAGGTTTGGATTAAGGTGCATGCTGGTATAGATCTGTAGCCTGGATGCCAGCCGAGCTTAGCTCCGCCCACAACATGTGAGGTCAGGAAGTTCGGTCTGGACTTGATCCGTTGTGAAGCAAGTATTCCCGAACCAAAGCTGTTCGGACCAATCACATTGTCAGGGCGGGCTTTATACGATGATGGACAGATGATCAACAGTAACGTAATCATCCACGTCACCAAAGAGCGCTTGGGTTGAATTCGTTTACAACAAAGATGGCCGCCGCTGGGGAAATGAGATGTGTAGATTCAGCCGTCGTGTCTGTTATAGGAGATGTAGACAGCGCATTCGTTTTAAAAGAGGAACAGAGAACTGCGATCAAGGCATTTGCCGATCCAATTGAGTGCAGAGGCATTTTCTTTCCTGGTTCGGTTGAAACGCCCCATAATCACAGCCCAATGGAGCCGTATCAGACTCACATTCTGACTAGCATCTGAGTATGACGACGTCAGGCTAATAGATCTGCGTATCATCAGCATAACAATGAAACCAGAGCCCGTCTACGGAGAGCCTGGCCACTCCCTATTACGTCCTATTGTATCGAATTGTGGTTGTAGTTCCACCAGAGCTCCACTGGGGGCGATCGCCTGAGTGCGTGAGTGAATGGGAGTCTATGGAGCTAGACGGCTAAATGTGTCTGTTTCACCCGATTGCCGTTGAGAAATCTCAGATTTGATTGTAGGTTTTGCAAGTTCTACATGGGTTATAGGTCCAAAGTTGAATGAACAAGTACTCATGTCCTTTTGATTTCTTACAGGTTGAGTTGTTGTTGCCCATGACACGCTAGCATTCTGCTAATGGTCAGTGAAAGGGCTGATTACGAACAGAGACACCGCTTGATGGCATCATGGCATCCGGACCAGAATGTTAAGAACTTTAGTTTTACAGAAATTCTTCTAGCTCGTGTGTTTACCTGTGTCCGCTGTCTCGAGAGAACAGAAAGCGCAGAGCGCGAACGTGTAAGTCCGTCTAATTTGATCCAATGGCGGCATTCAAATTAGCGGTGAAGGTCTCACGCAGTGTTCCGTCTCTTCCCATCATGGCAAAGGGATTTTTAATTAAATGCAATATATGTTATCTTATGTATTAACTCGTTTCATCTGACTCCATAAAATGAAAAAGTTTTTCAATGATATCTGTGCATCATTAAATATATGTTAATGTTTGACTATTCCTTTTAACTCCAATGAAAATAAGGTCAAAGTCTGTTAGAATAATCAAATATAACAATTTATTATGTCAGGTAAAAGTATTATGCCAATTTCATAATCAGTTCAAAGATCATCAATACAAAACATCAAATGTTTTAGGATAAGAGAAATAGATGCAAACCCAACATTTAAGAACTACATGAGCTAACCTCACGGGCTGATCTGAGATACAGAAAGAGCCCCGATCCCTTGCTGCATTCCATTAAATAGCCAGAACTTCTTTATAATAGTAATTTGCATTCAGGTTACACCTTATTTTGGGGGTAGAGGAGAAAGGCCATTTGCCTAAAGTCCACCTTCCTTTGTGTGTCATTTACATTTACATTTAGTCATTTAGCAGACGCTTTTATCCAAAGCGACTTACAACTGAGGACTAAACCAAGCGAGTCATCGTGAAGAGGCAAAAGCAACGCAAGAAGTGCTCAAAATACAAAGTTCAGACATAGCGCGGAGTAGCATAAGCCAGGCAAGCGAGGATTTAGAGGAAAGGATTTTTTATTTATTTATTTTTTTTTATGTTAAGTGCTCCCGGAAGAGATGAGTTTTCAGTTGTCTTTTGAATGTTGTCAGGGATTCTGCATTCCGGATGAGGGTGGGGATCTCATCTCTAAACTTCTAAAAAACCTTATTAGCTTTTGTTTTACCAATTTGGAAATGAGACATCTGAACCAGCCACCCTGAGACCTTTAAAATGATACTAAACACAATAATCATTCACATTAAACCATATATATATTCTTATGTGAGTTTTAGCTGTTACTGGGTGAGAGAATGAAATGTAAATCAGGTGAGACTGCGTGAGGGGGAGGTCGAATGTTAATTTTCAGCAAGTTCCTTTGTTTCAATAGACCATGTGGTCAGGACAGTTTCTCCAACCGGTTTTACAGTCTTACAAACGCATCAGAGTGACTGAAGGATTGCCGTAAAGCAGTATCTCTGGTCGTACGATGTGTGTGACGTCATTGACATTTTAAAAGACTTTTTAAAGCAAATAAGTGACTCTAAAAAATCTAACACCCAGTAATGTGTCATTTCTTTGCATCTCGTTTCGAATACAACATTCAAAGTACTAGACAAAAAATTATATCCTGAGAAAAGTGGATTTTGAGGGGTATATCTCCATAGACCTCCATTCATTCTGCACTCGTCCTGTGAGCGCCCTCATGTGGACCCAGAGTGGAACTGCAACCAGTTCAGGAGCCGGACGTTTACTGAGAGTGGAAGTTCTCCCCATATTAGACATTCTCTGGTGAAACCCTAACCCAAACTTACGAATGATGTCACCCAAAGGCAGCATATAAATGCTGAATAAGACGGGACCAAGCACAGACCCTTGTGGGACACCCTGCTGTTTTTCCCCAGAGACACAAACTGGAATCGATTAGTGAGATAAGATGTAAACCATTCAAACGCAGTGCCCGAGATCCCCAGCCATACACACTTAAGAAGATCTTTTAAGCATGAGATGTTGTGTCAAAAGCAGCAGTGATGTCTAACAATACTCATTTATTCATCAGGGATGCATTACTTGATCAAAAGTGACAGTAAAGACATTTATAATTTTACAAAGGGGTTTCGATTTCAAATAAATGCTGTGATTTTCAACTCTCTATGCATCAAAGAATTCACATTGAAGCAGCACGGCCGTTTTCAACACTGATAATAATCATAAATGTGTCTTGAGCATCAGATCATCATATTAGAGTGATTTCTGAAGGATCATGTGACACTGAAGACTGGAGTAATGATGCTGAAATTCAGCTTTGATCACAGGAATAAATTACACTTTACTATATATTCACAAAGAAAACAATAATAATATTTCACAATTTTTACTGTGTTTTCGATCAAATAAATGGTAAGCAAAAGAGAAACAATCTCACCAACCCAATCTTTTGAATGTTAATATATATATATATATATATATATATATATATATATATATATACACACTGCCGTTCAAAAGTTTAGGCGGTGAGTTTTTTTATGTTTTTGAAAGAGACTCTTCGGCTCACCAAGGCTGCATTTATTTGATTAAAAATACAAAACAAACAGTAATATTGTGAAATATTCTTACAATTTAAAAAGCTGTATTTTCAGCATCATTACTCCAGTCTTCAGTGTCACATGATCCTTCAGAAATCACTCTAATATAATGATTTGATGCTCAAAGTAGTATATATATATATAGATTCTCCAATCTTACCTGCACTTTGTGATTTTTCTGCGAGGAATTCCCTTATTTTCTCCACCCAGAGGTACAGAATATTCTCCCCAGTATTCTCCCTAAACAAGACAATCACATTTCATATTTCATATCCACATAGATACACTGATCTGATAGTGAAATGACACACACTCACACATACAGCTCCTCTAAGCTGTTGGACAGGGCCCTTCTGTCGGGTCCCCGGAGCCAAGCCGCGCTGTCCGGAGAAATACACACCGATCACTGGACATTTACTTCACATTTCTTTATTATCTGCACTGAAAGGAATATACATACTTGATTTGGTATATTGGAGGCGCTGAGCTCGGGTAATCTGGAGGAAGTATGATCTTCAAACAAACATTAACATACATTTAATATTTGTGCTGGGCAACGATTAATCGCATCCAAAATAAAAGTTTGTGTTTACATAATATATGTGTGTGTACTGGGTATAGTTATTTTGTATATATAAATACACACACACACACACACACATGCATGTATATATTTTAGAAATATTTGCATGTATATATTGTATATTATATATAAATATTTTATATAACACATATTCTTAAATATGTACATGCATGTGTGTGTGTTTATATATACAAAATAATTATACACAGTACACACACTAGGGGTGGAACGGTACATGTATTCGTATTGAACCGAAACGGTACGGGCGTCACGGTTCGGTGCACGAATTTGCACGGAGAATACACGGTACAAGAAAAAAATTCTCTCTATTCGCTTTTGGTGTAAGTGAACGCAGCAATGAACAGGCTGCGATCAAGATTGCAATGCTGGAGTGTGTGTGTGTGTGTGCGCGCGAGAGAGAGTGAGAGAGAGAGAGAGAGAGAGAGGCGCGATGAACAGTGTTTGTGTGTGTGTGCGAGAGAGAGAGAGAGAGAGGCGCGGGCGCGAATCGTGCGATCGAACAGTGTGTGTGTGTGTGTGTGTGTGTGCGCGCGTGCGTGCAAAAGAGAGAGAGGCGCGGGCGCGAATCGCGCGATCGAACAGTGTGTGTGTGTGTGTGTGTGTGTGAGGCACGGGCGATCGAACATCAGAAACATAAAAACATACTCCGTCATTTTTTTCATACAGGACATCATTAAAACTGCAAAGTGTTTACTTATATTTGTGTACACTCGCAATAAAACACAACATTGTGCTTTGTCACACTCTAAACTCTTGTCAAACTGTAACCTACAACAAAAAGGTTTTAATGGTAGTATTATTTTATACGGAAATCAATTATTTATAATTCAGATGAGAATAAAGTTAGGGTTAATTAAAATGAAGGAAAACAAATATATTGATCTGAAATAGCAAAATAATTTTAAATTCATTCAGGTACAATTACCAAACATATCTCAAGGTCTTTTCGTCTTTTTAATAATTTATTAATAAACTAATTATATAAAACTACTGTCAGTGCACTACAAATAAACTGGTTCTATGCCTTTATTAATAAAACTTATTTAAAAAATACAAGGCTTAAAACATTTATAAAAAAAGCCTTCTGCATTTTTGTTTTGCTATTCACTCCATTGTACCGAAATCGTACCGAACCGTGATGTCTGAACCGAGGTATGAACCGAACCGTGACTTCTGTGTACCGTTCCACCCCTAACACACACACATATATTATGTGAACACAAACTTGGATGCGATTAATCGCTGCACATCCCGATTTAATATTCATGAACGCGTTTAGCGTAATCATAAGTTCGATGTATGTTTCGTATACCTGTAAACAGACCGTCCATGTGGGCTTCTGGGTGTCATCTGATATTCTGATGCAGAAAACTCTAGAAGCTTCATCAATCACACACCATTCTTCACCATAGATGGAGGAAAGAGCCTCGATCTCCTCGATCTGTGTCATAATAAACACCACGTCATCATAAAACAGATTAATAACACGAGTCATGCCAACTCTCACTCATTCAGCGTGAGAAGAGGAAAATCGCGAAGAGGACACTGACACCGACAGAAAGACAGCGAAGGTTACTTTAAATATGAAACAAATTCTCAGCTCTCAGATTCTGTCAATTTTATTTCGAAATTCATACGATAAATACCGTTTTGGCGCTTGAAAATGTGACGTGACAGATCGCGGCGCGCGAACCGATTATAATATCATTCATAATATCGATCAATCAGTGTTTTAACATTTACCTCAGGAAAGCCATAATGACCATAGCACGTTAGTTGGCTAGAATAATTTACTATAAAGAGGAGTATTTTCCTAAATGTGCACTATATTACATATTTATTGTATTTCATTCAAATATTATAACGTTGTTATTATAATAAAAACCGCATTATATTTAATTGAGTTGTATTTTTTAACCTTTAATGATGAGTGAGATTTTTTTCTTCGGAAAAGTGTACATGTATCTACTGTACATATTATGCATCCAAATGAATCGATATTTAATCAAGATCGGAATCACAAGAATTGAATTGAAATTGTGAAATTTGTGTCAAGCCGTAATAGAAACAGTAGCATTGCACCATGTAAACATTGTAGCATGTTGACACTAAACCTAGTAAAAGTATGTTTAGCAACCAAATGTTTTGACAATCACAATATGTAAAAAAAATAAAAAAAAATAAAAAAGAACTTGCATCCCCCAATCCACACACACACACACACACACACACACCTCCACAATTCTCACTCCAAGCTAAACTCAACAGTTGGCAGCCCTGATATACCTGAGACTGCAGGTCAGCATCAGTATTCTCTTCTGACGACTCCATCGAATTCAACACATGACTAAAAAAATTAAAATAATAATTCAACACATGACTAAAAAAAATTATAATAAAAATAATTCAACACATGACTGCTGAGGAAAAGTTCCTGTTGCGCACAGATGTCACTGTTAAAGTCGGACTTGTTAATACGCATACGCCTTATTAATATGTATAGCCTATTAATATAATGTAACGATCGACTGAGACAGTGAGAAGTACATTTATATATTCAAAGTGACAGATAAAACGCACGTGGTCTTGAAGTAGGAAAGTCTCAAAACAACAAACGCGCACACAGTGCTTCCGGGTTAGAGCATAGAGGTCACGTGGGCATATGATCATTAATGTGTGTTTGCATAATGTATTATTGTACATCAATATATTTACGTATTTGGATGTGAAACATACAGAATAAAAGGTTCATATTATAATGAATAAATATTACGTTGATGTTCATGTTTTTTATTTTAAATACTTTTATTTTAAATGTTTTAATTAGTGATATTAATGTAATTTAAATGGATATATTAAATAAAATATTTTACTGCTACATAAAATTATTGACATATTCTAAAAAAAAAAATTATTTAATAGAATATATACTTTTGATATTGTATTTCATTATTTATATGATAGAATAAAATGTCCATATTATATGAAATAAGTATTATATTAACAATCATGTATTCGATTATTTATTAATATTAACATTTTTTATTTTTACTAATTTTATTTTCCATTTAATTATTCATATCAATGTAGATTAAATTAATATATTAAATATAATATTTCACTGCTACATTAAATTATTGAAGTCCTGATATATATTTGTGTTTGATTATTAATATGATAGAATAAAAAGTCCATATTATTTGGAATGCATATAATATTAATAATATTTATATTAATGTTTTTATTGTTATCTCTCTATCTGCCAGTCTGTTTTTTCTAGAATTGGATGGAGTAAAAAAAGAAAAAGAAATAAGATCTAGATGGAGTGACGTCGAAAGAGCACTAATGAGCCAAGCCCCATCGCCAACCAATCAAACCCCGGCATTCAAAAACGTCACCTGTAAGCCAGTAGCAGAGAACGGCCTCATTAATTATTCATGACATGCCAATGTTGTTCCACCTCACGCGGGCTGGCGGAGGAGAAAAACATACTGGAAACGAGTGAAGATCGTCACCATGGCGACAGCGATTTATCTCGAACATTACCTCGATAGTGAGTATAATTAATTCCCGAGCAAATACGGCGGATTTAACGTTTTTTTTTTACGCGGGATGAAGGTGTTTTAAGAGGTCCAGTTTGAGGATGTTTTGATGGCTAATGTCAGATTAGCATTAGCGAGCTTCAGCTAGTAAGCCAACAGGTTGATTCGCTTCTTTTCTACTGTACAACACTGCGTAAATCTACGTGATTCTTTTATTTTGTTGTTTAAGGAGTTTTATATACATCTATTGTGAAACCAAAGCTAAGTTTTAAATGCATTACAGAAAGTAGTTAGCAAGCATGCTAACAACATGCTAAGTCAACAAATGAATGTTATGCGAGGTTGTCTGTGTGTATATGTATTTGTGCTCAGGTATCTGTCTAGATAAGTAGAAGATGGTGGTCTAGAACGGTCCTCTTGTATGTAAACAGTACTTTTTATTAAATTGAGATATTTATTATGACCCTAGGCATTGAAAACCTGCCCTGTGAGCTCCAGAGAAACTTCACACTTATGCGGGAACTGGACAACAGAGCGGAGGGTGAGATGACATCTTAAATCATACTGTGCCGTCTATCTAGGGAGCATCTTTGGGTATTATAGGGTGTTGAGTATCGTGACCCAGTCCCGGAGAAGTGGCATGAAAATGGATGAAATTGATGGATGTGTTTTTTGCCCCCCCCCCCCTCTTTTGCAGAAAAGAAATACGAAATCGATAAGCTCACAGAAGAATACATCACTAACGTCCGAAATCTGGCCCCGGATCAGAGAGTGGAGCACCTGCAAAAGATTCAGAACGGATTCAGCAAATGCAGAGAGTACACCGACGACAAAGTGCAGCTCGCCATGCAGACGTACGAGATGGTCAGTGCAAACCTGGCAATATCAGTGTGATTTCTATTCTCAGTTTGGCAAAAAAATAGAAGTTTGTTTTTATAACAAATATAATTTTCTGTTTTTATTTATTTAATTATTTAAGTAGATTTCGCAATATTTATTCATCCATTTAAATGTGTGGGAACCTCAAAAATGTTTATTTTAATGTGTCTGTATTTATCTTTTGTGGTCAAAAATAGTACATTCTTTTTCTTTTTTTTAGAATGTACTATAATTTAGTTAAAATTTAGTAAATTAACAGAAATGTTTTAAAAAAAAAATAATTTTAGTTAGCAATAATAACCCTGTCAAGCCAATCACTGCGGTGTCATTTTTCAATAGTTTGATTTACATATTGTTTTGTTTCTTTTTTAAGTATTATCATTTTTTTAACATTATTAAAAATAACCCTTCTTCTCACTAGGTGGACAAACACATCCGAAGGCTGGACGCGGACCTCGCTCGCTTCGAGAACGAGCTGAAGGAGAAGTTGGACGTCAGCGGCTACGAAAGTCCAGACAACAGGACGCCCAAGAGTAAGACCCAACGTGGCCAAATACTGTACAACGCATGTCATACTGTACATGATCAGATAGATATGAACTGTTGTCCTGTGTAGAGGTGAGTGGCAGAGGAAGCCTGAAGGAAAAGCGACGACCGAAAGGAAGAGGACGGAAATCTTCAGACGACGAATCGCCACGGAAAAAGAAAATGAAAAAAGGGTAAGAGTGAACTTTAGGAAAGCCTTCGCCCAAACTTGTCAATCATACGAGCAACAAGCAGCGTTAGCTTTGTTTCCATCCATTTTTATGCTAATTTTGGGATACCTCATCAAACAACGCTGAATTAAAATCCAAGATGCATGATAAATGCGCATTAAAAAAAACACTGAATAAATCCCAGGACGAACAACATACAGGTGAAACTCGAAAATTAGAATATCGTGCATTTATTTCAGTAATTCAACTTAAAAGATGAAACTAATATATTATATAGACTCATTACATGCAAAGTGAGATATCTCAAGCCTTGTTATAATTGTGATTATTATGGCTTAAGAAAACCTTTTCACAATATTCTAATTTTGACTTTGGGGTTTTCATAAGCTGTAAGCCATAATCATCACAATTATAACAAATAAAGGCTTGAAATATCTCACTTTGCATGTAATGAGTCTATATAATATATAAGTTTCACCTTTTAAGTTGAATCACTGAAATAAATGCACGATATTCTAATTTTTCGACTTTCACCTGTAAAGCTCACATGTCTTTGGCTCAGCGGAGGCTGTGATTGGATAACTGGAGTAACCAGCGGACCAATCACATCGCAGCATCTCAAATGTTGGTTTTGTGGCTACGAGTCAAAGTCTGTCATCAGAATGATTTGGTTCTCTTGAACACATGGGATGGAAACGCTGCTTTATTCGCAGATTTGAATGCAATATTATAATTGTTTTGATGGACACGTAACTATTTCCTCGTTGTTTTCCGCAGCCCTGAGTTCTCTGAATCCGTCTTACCAGTTCACCCATCAGACGTCTTAGACATGCCTGTGGATCCCAACGAACCCACGTACTGCCTGTGTCACCAGGTGTCATATGGAGAAATGATCGGATGCGACAACATGGATGTACGAGCGGATGTCCTGTCCATTCACTTTAAACTGTTTTTTTAGCCTTTCCTCGTCTATTTCTTTAACAAACAAACAAAACTGCTTTTCTTAACAGTGTCCCATCGAGTGGTTTCACTTCGCCTGTGTTGATCTGACAACGAAACCCAAAGGGAAATGGTACGTCGATCTGTTCAGAGTCGCTCGACGAGGAACCGTCGATATCTTTGTTTTTGAAGATCAACAAACAGCTTTTCTTCTCTTTCTTCCAGGTTCTGTCCACGATGCACCCAGGATCGAAAGAAAAAATGAGATGTTGAGATTACATTTCTATATGAATATACATATGCATATATATGTATTTTGTCTAAGTGGTAAAATAGGATAATATATACTCCTTTATATGGCCATGATGAAATATATGAGGGTCACGAGAAAACAAAGTTTTTATTTTTCAAAGTACTTGAAATGTTTCCATTTGTTTGAGTTTCATTCTGTGTTGTCAAATTGTCTTTTTAGGCAATTTCGGATATATTATATATGATATAGGCTATATATATATTTTCCTCTCTTTACTTACTGATTATTTTTATGAAGCTTCAAGCATCCAAACTATCACTCTTGTGCTTTGCTCATGAAATGTTTTTAGCGCGGCAACAAGTCGTTCGGCACGATTTCACTTTTAAGACGCTGAATTCGGCAGCCAACGTTCGATTGTATTTCCCGCTCTTGCACTTAAAGGCCAATGCGACTACTTTTCCTGCAACTACCGATTTGCTTTGAAACTCTCTCTGTTAGAGAGAAACGAAACTTTGTAGTGCTAGTAAAGTGTTTAATTATAGAAGCTTGTTTCCGCCTTGGAATTAAACCATTTAAAAGATAATTGCGAGATATAATGTCAGAATTGGGATGTATAAACTCGCAATTAGGAGAAAAAGTCTAAATTGTGACATATAAACTCGCAATTACGAGAAAAAGTCTAAATTGTGAGATATAAACAAAAGTCTAAATTGTGAGATATAAACTCGCAATTACGAGAAAAACAAACTCGCAATTACGAGAAAAAGTCTAAATTGTGAGATATAAACTCGCAATTACGAGAAAGTCTAAATTGTGACAAACTCGCAATTGTAAGAAATAAAGTCACAATTGTGAGATATAAACTCGCAATTACGAGAAAAAGTCTAAATTGTGACAAACTCGCAATTATGAGAAAAAGTCTAAATTGTGAGCTACAAACTCGCAATTACGAGAAAAAGTCTAAATTGTGACATATAAACTCGCAATAACGAGAAAAAGTCTAAATTGTGACAAACTCGCAATTACGAGAAAGTCTAAATTGTGAGATACAAACTCGCAATTACGAGAAAAAGTCTAAATTGTGACATAAACTCGCAATTACAACAAAAAGTCTAAATTGTGATATAAACGCAATTACGAAAAAAAGTCTAAATTGTGAGATATAAACTCGCAATTACGAGAAAGTCTAAATTGTGACAAACTCGCAATTGTAAGAAATAAAGTCACAATTGTGAGATATAAACTCGCAATTACGAGAAAAAGTCTAAATTGTGAGATATAAACTAGCGATTACGAGAAAAGTCTAAATTGTGACAAACTCGCAATTGTAAGAAATAAAGTATAAATATCATATAAACTCGCAATTCTGACTTTTTTTCTCGCAACTCTGACTTTTTTTTCTTGCAATTCTGACTTCTTTTCTCAGAATTGCGAGATATAAACTTTTGCACGATTAGGAACTATTCAAAATGGAAGCTTGTCTCCGTTACAGAATAAAAAAAAGACAAAAAAGGTAATTGCGACTTTTTATCCCACATTTGTGACTTTTTTTCTCGCAATTGCGTGGGATAAAATTGTGGGATAAAAAGTCGCAATTACTTTTTTTTTATTTTTTATTCTTTAACGGAGACAAGCTTCCATTTTTAATCATTCCTAATCGTGCAATTGCAGATAACAACCCAAAATCTCGAGGTACAACTGCCGTCATCCGAGGCTTTTCCTATGGACAATCAAGTTCCGCTTCATTCTTCGCTTTATTTCCGAGAATCTTTTGCCGAACTCAAAGCGATTAACTACTGCATTTCAAAGCAACAGTACACGTGCGACGTCTCGTTGTTGAATGTTTTAAACGCGTGATTTTGGCAGTATCTGCCGTCTTTTCTCCAGCAGCTTTGATGCACTTTTTAATCGACGGGACTCGGCACTTGTGGCTTTCCGATTCGAAGCCGTTTTTAATGCGCAAACAAAATGTCAAGAGGATCTACCAAAGTGAGATTAAGCGGTGTTAACGCTGCTCTTGTGTTATTTTACGATTCTATATGTGATCCAAATATAAAACATGAAATATTACTTTCATATTGACGTGAGACTACCTTATTGAACACACGTACCTGTACGTCTTTATATGGTGTCATCAGTAGTGGCTAGAGGATCCACAGGGTTGAAAGTGTGACAATCAAGTAGCGTTTTATTTTTTCATGTTTAACTATCCCTGGATATATGTTCCGTACAGCTTTTCGTAAAAACAAATAAATATTTACCATTAAAAGTCGTCTTGTCGTTTAAAATGTATGTCAAGTATTGTGATGTTTTAGTATCATTACCAGTGTTGGGGAAAGTAACTTTAAAAAAGTAATGCATTACAATATTGCGTTACTCTCTTAAAAAGTAACAAATTGCGTTACTAAAATCTATAGTCATTTTCGCTCATGGTTTAACTGAATCATCGAAGGTCGACTCAGAAGCAAGTACATCTGTCAATAAAGTGAGATTAAATGCATAAAACATATTTAGTTATTGGAGGTTTGCATAGTATTCTGATTCTACTTTTCACTGATTTTATTCATATTGAGGAATATTTAATCTTTTTTGTGTGCAAATGAGATGAGTAAATGCACACATTTAGTGTAGAACTACAATAACAATCATGTTTACACACACACACACATCTCTGGACAGGAGAGCTGTCAGTCATTAAATGGGAAAACAAAGTAACTTGCGTTAGAAAAAGTAACTCAGATATTTTGTTTGTTTGTTATAATTTTTTAAGTAATGCGTTACTTTACTAGTTACTTGATAAAGTAATCTGATTACATAACTCAAGTTACTTGTAATGAGTTACACTCAACACTGATCATTACTATTTTAGGATTTATTTAGTTGAGGTAATCTATGTTTTTGTAGGCTGATAATAGATCATATTTAAAAAAATCATAGTTGTAAAAAAAAACATTGAGGTTTAGACTTTACATGTCCTCCATTTTTTGTTTATTGAATTAAATATTTAGATTTGTGTGATGTCAAAGAACCAAAAGAGTAAAACTATTACAGTGGCCTTAAACCCAACAGCATGTTCATCACCAGACTTCAACAACATAAACCCCCATAATGCACCATGTCTGAATCACTTCCTCTAAGTGTCCCTGATGTTCTAGAACTCATCATCGGACGGCTCCCCGTCCCAGCTACACGTCTCTCGCACGCTGGTCTCGGGAAACTCCACTTCCAGGTCGTACACGAACTCCGGGTCCTCTTTGCGTCTGCGGTTGCGCTCGAACAGCTCGTCCATCTGAGCCTTCCTGCGGTCGAGCTCTTCATCGCTCAGTTTGTTCAGGTCCTCGTCGTCGAGGTCGGGCCCCCGTTGGGCGGCGAGGCTCTGGTCCAGGCTGAGGCCCCGCAGATGATCCCGGAGGATGAGGTGAAGTCTCTCAAGCTGGACCATAGACACAGACTCCAGATAGATGCTGTGACGGACATGATGCTTCATCCGCTCTGCTGCTCGGCTGCAGTCTGGAAAGAAGGAAGCAACACTTTAAGACAGTACATTAAAGGGATAGTTCACCCAACTTTTATGATGGATATATGCACTTTAATGATGGACAGATGCACTTTTATCATGGAAAGATGCACCTTTATGATGGATAGATACAAGTGCATCATAAAAGTGCATCTATCCATCATAAAAGTGCATATGTCCATCATAAAAGCGCATCTGTCCATCATAAAAGTGCATCCATCCATCATAAAAGTGCATCTGTCCATCATAAAAGTGCATCCATCCATCATAAAAGTGCATCTATCCATCATAAAAGTGCATCTATCCATTATAAAAGTGAATCCATCCATCATAAAAGTGCATCCGTCCATCATAAAAGTGCATCCATCCATCATAAAAGTCCATCTATCCATCATAAAAGTGCATCTATCCATCATAAGTGCATCTGTCCATCATAAAAGTGCATCCATCCATCATAAAAGTGTATCTATCCATCATAAAAGTGCATCCATCCATCATAAAAGTGCATCTGTCCATCATAAAAGTGCATCTATCCATCATAAAAGTGCATCCATCCATCATAAAAGTGCATCTATCCATTATAAAAGTGCATCTATCCATCATAAAAGTGCATCCATCCATCCATCATAAAAGTGCATCCATCCATCATAAAAGTGCATCCATCCATCATAAAAGTGCATCTGTCCATCATAAAAGTGCATCTATCATCATAAAAGTGCATCTATCCATTATAAAAGTGCATCTATCCATCATAAAAGTGCATCCATCCATCATAAAAGTGCATCCATCCATCATAAAAGTGCATCTATCATCATAAAAGTGCATCTATCCATTATCAAAGTGCATCTATCCATCATAAAAGTGCATCCATCCATCATAAAAGTGCATCCATCCATCATAAAAGTGCATCTATCCATCATAAAAGTGCATCCATCCATCATAAAAGTGCATCTATCCATCATAAAAGTGCATCCATCCATCATAAGTGCATCTGTCCATCATAAAAGTGCATCCATCCATCATAAAAGTGCATCTGTCCATCATAAAAGTGCATCTATCATCATAAAAGTGCATCTATCCATTATAAAAGTGCATCTATCCATCATAAAAGTGCATCCATCCATCATAAAAGTGCATCCATCCATCATAAAAGTCAATCTATCCATCATAAAAGTGCATCCATCCATCATAAAAGTCCATCTATCCATCATAAAAGTGCATCCATCCATCATAAAAGTGCATCTGTCCATCATAAAAGTGCATCTATCATCATAAAAGTGCATCTATCCATTATAAAAGTGCATCTATCCATCATAAAAGTGCATCCATCCATCATAAAAGTGCATCCATCCATCATAAAAGTCCATCTATCCATCATAAAAGTGCATCCATCCATCATAAAAGTCCATCTATCCATCATAAAAGTGCATCCATCCATCATAAAAGTCCATCTATCCATCATAAAAGTGCATCCATCCATCATAAAAGTGCATCTATCCATCATAAAAGTGCATCAATCCACCATAAAAGTAGGGCTGTCAACTTTAGTCGTTTAATCGACTAATCGGTCGATGGCGTCTTGGTCGACTGACATTCTTATTGGTAGACCGGTTTTGATTTTTTTTTTTTTTTTTTTTTTTTTACCAATAGAAAGAAATTTTCAATGATTTACTCCTTGATTTGTATTCCTATATAAGCAGTTATATATTACTGTATTCTAAATATAATTCGCCTATGGTTTATCCCCAACTTTAAATGCTTTAATTTAGGCTATTTTGTAACAGCGCCACAGTTTAGCACACACACATATAACACTCGGTGGCTGGCTGCGCTGCTGCTTCGTGCTCACTAAGGGATATAGGTAGTTTAGCTGTATTCATTCAGTTAGAACGCTACTTGTTTCGGTTTTTATACACTATATGTTTTTATCTCGATGCGGCGTGGACGCACTCGGAAAAAAAAGAGCGCGTCGCACCGCGACCGCGTTGCTTCCATCTTGAGCGCGCACACCGCGCGCCTACATTTGAAATCGAACTTGAGCGCGCAAAAGACGTGAGCAGTCCCTTTAACGGCTTTATCATGCTGACTCAATAGATTGTGTTTTCTTGATATGTTTTTGTTTTTATTTGTACACTTGAAGTATTTGAAAATAGCCTAAATAATGTAACAAAACGAAAATAAACCTATGCGGTCCTACAATACAGCCGATTGTTTTTTAGGCTCTCTGGGTTTTTTGTGTGTTTGTTTTAAAACTCCTAGATCGGCTGGACAAAAGTTAACCCATAGCTTTGAAAGTAAAGAAGAATATACAGCCTATAAAGGAGAGCTTTTGTTAGGATGTTTCATGGCAGACAGCAGTTATATTTTTTGTAGCGTGTGGTGTGGTCAGGTGTGCGATTGTGACTGTCACTATAGACCTAGGACAGAGCTCCTCACTTATTGCAGTTAAAAAAAATCACTTAATTTTCAAAGAATTGTATTATTATTATTATAGTTTTATGTATTTTTGATGTTTTTTCGTTGTTGTTTTATAAATGCTCTATGACAATTGTTAAAAAATGTTCAATCAAAACATTGCGTCTTTTCTTCTTCTTTTTTTTTTAGTCGACTAATCGTTGCGCAGGACAAGACTTTGGTCGACTAAGGATTTCTTTGGTTAACTACAGCCCTACATAAAAGTGCATCTATCCATCATAAAAGTGCATCCATCCATCATAAAAGTGCATCAATCCATCATAAAAGTGCATCTGTCCATCATAAAAGTGCATCTATCCATCATAAAAGTGCATCTATCCATCATAAAAGTGCATCTATCCATCATAAAAGTGCATCAATCCATCATAAAAGTGCATCAATCCATCATAAAAGTGCATCCATCCATCATAAAAGTGCATCCATCCATCATAAAAGTGCATCAATCCATCATAAAAGTGCATATATCTCACAAAAAGTCGCTGGAAAAGTCTAAGTCACATTTCGAACTTCATTCTTTTGGGGTGTCCCTCAGGTGTTATAGTTGAGGGCCACTTTTGTTCTTGTTTTAAGAGAAATATATGTGGGTGAATGAATGGCTCAAAACTTCTTAAGAACAAGTTTATGTCATATTTCAAACAGACTTACCTGAATACTGAGAGAAGTTCCTCACAGGTATGATTCTTTTCCGCATCTTGCTGGTGTTCTTGTTCTCATATACGAGGATGATTGAAGGTGGAATAAATTTCACTCCACATTGCTTTGCTACTATGGACATTTTCACTCACACTGACATGTCCAGCTGCAGAATCAAATGAGAAATATTGTCCATAAAGAGTCAACCAATAGTTATATTTCTCCATAAATAGTTAATAATAATAAAATATTACTTCACGTAGTTGAAAAATATGTGAAAATCTTCTGAAAACTGTATATGCACACAAATCTATCTTATAGATAGTAGAATAGATAGTAATGTTAATATTTATTTGAAAGATGTTTTAAAAGGATTAATGTTTTATTTACTATCAAATCAACAAATTAAATAGAAATTGTTGCAGCTATATTAAGTTATTGCTGTGCTAAATAAATAATTTATTTGCTCATTAATATTAGTGTGTGTGTGTTAGTAAAACAAATATGATTACGGTACAGTTAGTTTTATCCATCTATCTATCCATGTATCTATCTATTTATCTATCTCTAATATTAGCATTAGTAACCATAGTAACAGTGAGATGTGTTGCACAACGACTATCGGAATAGTTATCGCTGGATTCACGCTGATTCTATCGAGACAGTTTTTTCTTAAAGGCACAGGCTCATATTTAATACGCAATACACGAGCTTGTAAATAAATCAGTGATTAGGCAAAACCATACTCTTGTTGTGGTTATTTGATTGCGGTTTCCATGCTTCCTCGTCGCCCCTGTATCCTTTTCTTCTGACGGGGGAGTTTCTCGCACGAGAGGCTCATTAGCGCCACCTGTCGGCCGGGTGTTATTAAACCCGGAAGTAAATGCAGCTACAAATCGGAACTAAAGCATGAGCGCTGATCGAACATGCACAATTTTTATTTATTAGCAACTGTGTTGTATTTAATCCACAATGGAAAGTCGCAAGAAGGTATTTTTAATTCAAAACATGCTGATAAATAAGGGTCAATAAGGGAAAAAAACACCAATATCTGACATAAACCTAAACTAAATTTCTGCATTTTCCTCATTCAGCAGATCATTGTTTTCCTTCTGAATTCCTTGAGTCATTGTCGATGTCTATGAAGATTACCAAAGCGGGATTTCACAGGTCTCCTCTTACTTTTAAAATATGTTTATTTATTCGTTCATGTTCATGATTTTGTCATTGACAGTGTTGTTTTGGTGTTATAGGGATCTCCTATACACTGTTGAATGGGGAGAAGTAGATCATGATGTGAAAGCTTTACTGGTCCAGAAGCTTCCCAGTGGAGTTTACATGGACGAATACCAGCTGGAAACCCTGAGACACGACACGGGTTTGGAGGTGAGCGCGTTCAATAGTGTTGAAATTATACTTAAATGTACATTTTCAGGTCAGAAGCCACTTTTTTATGTCTTTGCTTGCTGAAGTACAACATTACTTTGGGATTATCTCTAACTCGTGGAACAAGAAGGCTTTAAAATCATTTGAAATATGTACGTCTTTTAATCCTTTCCTTTGATATGCAATCTTTTCTGATTAGTTATGTACTCCTGTCTTGTACCTAGTTTTGTTTTGTTTTCCTCAAAACGTTTATTTGTTCTACATTGGTGACCGTTTCCTCCTTTGTTAGTACAAAGAATTAAAAAAAAAAAACTCAATAAATGTTCTCAACAATAATATAAATAATGTTATATTATGCGTGTGAATGTGTTATAGCCCATACACTTTAATTGAGACGAGCCTGAACATGTTTTGTAGGTTCTTCTGGATTCCAAGGTTGATCTGGAAGCTCCTGAATATCTGTCCACTGGTTTCACCGCACTGGTTTTCCTCTCTGGAAAGCACGAGGCGACGGTCCCCGTTCACGGCCGGTATCACAGACCCTCAGACTCCGGCCAGGAGCGGGTGACGGTGGAGCTGGAGTCGCCCCGGCTGCTCGTCCGGTCAGACCAGTGTAGGTCAGCTGGAGAAGTGCAGATCCACACAGTGAGATGGCGAGCTCGAGCTCATGTGTTCCTCCGTTACAGGCGACACGCTGAGAGCCGTTTCTCCTCCTCATGAGGCGACTGAAGCGCCGTGTGCCGTCAGCAACCACAGCGTCTGCTCCTGGCTGGAGATCCGCCGTCTGCAGAATAGCAATAATGTAAGATTTATAATAATACTAAATAAACATTAAGAATAGTAAATAATGTTTTATTATAATGTAACAATAATAGTAAATAGTATTTAATATATTGTTATATTTATAGTAATATATATATATATATATGTCATGTAATATTTATACTAATATATCATTTAGTAATAATAATCATAATATTAAATTATATATTTTTTTGTGATCAACTCTTTATTGTCTTTAGAAATAAAGGTAAGACAAACATCCACTCAAACAAAAAGACAGGGAAGGGGGAGCAAGACATATCATCAAAAAATAAAAATAAAAAACTTTATATAGTCATTCCTTTATATAATCCAATATTTTGGAAGAAAAACATTGCCATGCATCAATGGTACTAGATATTAAATTATATTTTGATATCATGTAATACTTATAACATTATAAAATGTATCATGTCATTTTAATAAAAGTAGTAAAACATAAAGTTAACGTAATATATAATTATAAGAATAATAATGGTAAATATTAAATGTGATATTTATAAGGTTATATTCATAATATTATCATATTTTAATATCTGAATATTTAAAGTAATAATGTAATAATAACAATATTATTAATTCATATAATGTATTTATAATATATTTATAATTACAATAGTAAAGACATTATTAAATATGTAATTATTCTATTAATAATATATAAGTAATATTTTAATATGATAAAATATTTATAATATTATTTAATTATAATATTAATAGTAAATATATAATAGTAGTATTATAATACTTATAATGTGATTTTTATAATATTATATATTATAATTATAATAATAGAAAGTCAATAATAAATACACTTTTAATGTAATATAATACTGCTAATGTAGTGTAATATAATTTGAATAGTAAGTATTACATATGAGATAACAATATAATATATATAATATAAGAATAATAATATTAAATAATTGTAACATCATGTAATGTTTATAGCATAATATAACTATAATAATAGCAAATAGTAATATTTTAATATAAGTAATATTTATAATATGTAATTTATAATGTAAAAATAATAATATCAAATCACATTTTAATATAGTGTAATATTTATAATATTATAAAACAATTTAATGACAATAATAGTAAATAATACATTATATTTAATGTAATATTTATAATATGATATTTTTTATATAATGCAATATTCATAATGATGTATAAATAATAATATTTGACTAATGGGATATTTATATAAATATTATTGTATGATATTGAGGTGCACAAGCTGATAATGTGATATTATGGTAATATTGCTGTATGATATTGAGGTGCACAGGCTGATTATGGGATATTATAGTAAAATTGCTGTATGATATTGAGGTGCACAGGCTGATTATGGGATATTATAGTAATATTATTGTCTCCGTCAGGACACTGGGTCGGTGAGTCTGGAGATCCCAGTGGGAGATTCCTCCATGATCCTCAGTGTGTGTGTCGGGACGGTCCTGACCACGGCGCTCAGCTGTGTGTTCCTGCTCCGCTCCATCTGGACACACGGCACCTTTTAACCCGTAACCTTTGACCCCTGCAGACGAGACTCGGGTCGTCATGTGACCCGCTGATGATGTCTGTGAGATATTTCTGTGTCGTATTGATGAACTGTGCGATATCTTAGGGGAATGTTCATGTCATCATAGCAGATTAATAATGTTTTGTTTCTGTAAAACGTGTTATTGCATTTGTGAATAAAACTGAATATTACTAAATTGTCTGTTATTACATCAATACTTTGTGAATAAATCTATAATTATTAGTATATATATGTATAATATATATTAGTATATAATATACATTTACATGTAATCATTTAGCAGAAGCATTTATCCAACGCGACTCATATATATATATATTTTTTTTTTAAGTCTCCCTGTGGTGAAAATCCAGCTTTTAATGTTGTTTATGTGTCTATGTGGTGTTTTTAATATGCTTTAAGACAAACCATGTGTAAATTCATAAGTCGACAGCATTGCTGAGTATTTTCTCCTCAAAACTGCAGTGAACCAAAGACAGTCTCAAAAACACGGTTTGAAATCGCTGGTGTTTCTGACGTCACAAACGACCTTGTAACCAATCAGATCAACGTGTGATCGTCAACCAGTGGATCTCTGAGCTGAGTGAGTGAGTGGAGGCGGGGCTCATTTGCATATAGAACCGCGTATACTAAATGAGGCAAGGGTGTCGAGTTGCATTCAAGATATATTTAGCCGATAGCTTTTTTTTTTTTTAAGGAAAACCAACCCTTAAATATATAATTTTGGTGATCAAAGATTAGTTTTAAAGCCTACAATTATTGACTACAGGGGGACTTTGATTATTTGAAATATAAAAATGTATAAACCTTTAAGTTAATGTATTAAATACATTGTATTTTGATCGGATATAAATCAATTATTATAATACACATAATTGTTAACAGCATAATACGTAATATTAATAAGTAATTGATTTTAATTCGCCAGACTCTTATTTTGTCGGTCGTTCCCCCACAATGCACTCGCACCGGAAACGGTCTCTGGCTGTGTGCTGCAGGCGAGGGTAGAAAGAGACGCTGCTGGGCGCCTCCCCTTCCCCAAACCAACACAAAAAACTACAGAAAATAACCCCGTGGACAGCAGAAAACAGCCTAGGAAGCATCAGACGGGGCTTTGGCGTCACATCGGGCCTCTACGCGGACAAATCCGCTCCTGTTGAACCCGTTCGAGCGGTTTAAAGTGAAGTTTGACTTCAGTTTCACAGGTGAGTCGCGACAAAACCCGAGATTCTCTGGCCGCGTCCCCAAACCTAGTGTGCTGCCTATCTAGACCGCTTGTTGAGCCTCGACATGAGCGTGTAGGTGATGTCCTTCAGTGCTGTCTAAGTAGGACGCTCAGTGGGGATTGAGGAAGACTGTTATTATATTCTGCATATGTCTGTGTGTTTATATGCAGTTGCTGCTTCTGTATCAGGTTTCTCTCTGCCTGTGTGTTGTGCTTCAGCTTTACTGGGGAAATACTGACAACAAATAATAAAGACAAAAAAGAAGAGGAATGTGTCTTTAGATATGACAATTAAACAGTGCTAATTAATAAAGCATGTAATGAGTTGAAGACTGAGTTATATAGAAGGTTTGATGAGTTTTGGGCAGGCGTCATGTCATTAGATTTTACTTAAGGATTTAAATAAAAATGTAAAAAAGAAATAGTTTAATTTTGAAAATTATTGTCATTATCATTATTATTATTTAATGAAATAATTATTCATTTTAGACAGTTTATTCTGACATTATTTTCATTCTAAGCAAACTGGTTAAAGGAAACAAATATATATATATAATATATTTAGCATGAATTACATTTTAAAGTTGGTTTTATGGTTTACATTGTGTTATTATTATGATTTATTTGTACTAAGTACTTTATTTGTCATTATTGTTCATTTTAAGGACAAGAATTGTAAATTTTTTCTCGCTTTAAAAATAAATATCAAGCATTAAATAGTTCTGATGGTCCTAAAAATCATTTTTGTATGCAAAATATTAATTCATTTGTTTTATTTTTCCCCATATTTAATTAATATAATAATTATTATTTAATAGTAATGATTATTGTTAAGTTTAAGGACAATTATTCATTTATTTTGGAATTATTTTCATAATAAATAATAAGCATAAAATGGTTCTGATGGTCCTAGAAATAATCTAAACATTCTTTATCCAAAATATATATATTTGTTATTTTTCCTTTAATATATATATATTTTTTTATTATAATTAAGCAAACTGGTTAAAGAAACAATAAATGATATTTTGCATAAATTAAATGGTTTACATTTTATTATTATTTATTAGTAGTACTAATTATTAATAAAAAAAAATGCTAATTAAATTTGTTAATCTTAAGGACAACAATTGTAAAATGTCTCTCACTTTTTTTATTATTATAAATATCAAGCATAAAATGATTCTTATGGTCCTAAAAAATCTTAAAAGCAAAATATTAATTTATTTGTTTTATTTTCCCATTTATATTCATTTATACATTTTTAACAGTAATAATTATTATTCATTTTTACTACAATTACTAATTTATTATGACATTATTTTCATGATATATAAATAATTATAAAATGGATCTGATGGTCCTAAAAAAAATAATCTGAAAATTCTTTATGCAAAGTATAATTTATTTTCTATTTGTTATTATTATTTAATAGTAATTAAATATTGTTAATTTTATGACAATTATATTATTATTATTATTTTATTGTGACATTATTTTCATGATAAATAATAATTATAAAGTGGATCTGATGATCCTAAAAAAATAGAAAAAAATTCTTTGTACAAAATATAATTTCTTTTCCATTTAATATAAATTCATTATTATTTTATATAGTAATTAAATATTGTTAATTTTATGACAATTATGTTATTATTATTTTATTGTGATATTATTCTCATGATAAATCATGAGTCTGATGGTTCTAAAATTAATCCGATTTTTTTCGTATGCAAAATATATATTTTTAATTTCTAATTCCTTTATGTATTATTTCCGTGCAAGTATAGACCGGCGTGTTTGTGTGCTGTTGTGTTTGTGTGTGTTGCGTGTGCGTCGCTCATCTCTCCGTTGTGCTTCCCTCTGCTCTTCCAGCTCTAACTCCTCCTTTTCTTTATCTCCACCTGCAAACGTTCCCACTCTTCCTTTCTTTGCTCTTCTCCTCCTCTCGTCCTGGACCATGTGTGATAATGGGGATCTGGAGGACAAGCCGCCCGCTCCGCCCGTGAGGATGAGTAGCACGATCTTCAGCGGCGGCGGGAAGGATCACGCGCTCGCAGCCAATCACAGCTCCAAGCCTCTTCCCTCGGTGCCGGAGGAGCGCAAGCGCAACAAGATCATCTCCATCTTCTCCGGAGCCGAGAAGGGTGCGTATCAAAACGAGCTTTTCCACTCACCGGCTAGATTTTGTAGGTTACCGGCCATTCAGAACTTCTACTAGCCAAAAAAAATAAAAAAAAATAACTACATCATATATTTATAAAATTTGGATTTCATACATTCATTTCCTATTCAAACAAAATCCTGTCATCCAGCATTTCCTCTTCCTCTTTCCTCCTCATCACCAGACATGTGTTTTAGGAGGACAGATCAATAATACAGGACAAAGAACATGTAGGATGTTGGAAAATAACAATGTCTTTTCTGTTCATCAAATGCTTTTTAATCTTCACTATTGCTTCAGTGCAAATGAACACACGCTCCGTTATTAGTTGTGTAGTGACGTGTGTGTTCAAGTGCGCCAGATATGAGCAGATTGCCAGATTCTGAGCAATACACTGCGTTAAATATGTGCAGATTTGTCTTACACGAACTTCCCCAGCGAACTGAGTAAACAGCCAAATTGGCTCGTGATTCGACAGCGGTGTTAACAGTGTTGGGGAGTAGTTAACTACAAGTAGCGACGCTACTAACTTAACTACATTTTTCAGTAGCTTGGCAGTAGCTCAGTTGCTTTTTAAACAGTGTAGCTTTTCCAGTAGCTAACTACTTTTTGCAGCAAGTAACGGTGTAGCGCGAGCAAAAGCTACATTGCGTTTTGTCGAGACTGCGCGAATCAGCGCATGCAAGGATATTCTTCTTCTTGTTAGATTACAAACTCATTTTTTGCCATTACCGCCACCTGTTGTTTAATCACGCGTCTTGCGGCTAACGGTTCACTGACGTACAGAAGTGGGTTGAAACAGCCCATGATGGAGCAAGACGTGGCGGCATATTTGGAGGATGGAGAAACAACTAACGTTAATTACCCATGGCCTTATTTGTCCAAATTCATGTCTCTCAAAGAAACGACAAGTAAAGGTTACACTTTTGTATGCAATCTTTACAAACCAAAGTTTAAAAGGCTCTCTACGTCGAAGACCTCAAGCACAAATTTAAGGACGCACATACAGTAATGGCCATTTTAAATGTATTAATTATCCTGCTTTATTGTTACATCAAATTTCTATTTCTGATTTAATTACCATGACCCGCCATGATCTGTCCGCCAGTTTGGTAATGAACATAAAAGACCACTAACGTTTGCGCCATCGTATTTGTCAGTTGAACAAAAAATGTAATCTTAGTTTGTTTATCGCATGACAAAGGCTTTGTTCTAATTAAATTGCTGTATAGATTTGTTGTGACTGGTTTCAGAGCGAATTGTTTTAAACACTAAATATTTTACTTAAAACATTCCTCAGACACTTATTCAGTTATTTATAATATACGTTGTTCAAAAAAAGCAAAAGTAGTTTCAATGTATCTAGCTACTTTTGATCGTAACTTGTAGTGTAGCTAACTACTTTTCCAAAAGTGTAGCTTGACTGTAGTTTAACTACTTTAACTAACGAGTAGCTTGTAGCTTGTCAAACTACAGTTTCGGAGTAGCTTCCCCAACACTGGGTGTTAATAACATTAATGTCATACAGCAGCAGCTTTACTGCTGTCACTTTAGGACCTGACACGCATTTTAATAATAATTAGCATTATTGTTTGTCATGAATCATGATATTATACACATGCAGTTTTTAGGAACTGATTTTAATTTCAGAGGCTACCTAGTTCATTTGTAAACTGAACTAGGTAGCCTAATAATCTTTTGCGTTCAACAGAAAAAAGAAATTCATACAGGTTTGAAACAACTTGAGGGTGAGTAAATTATGACAGA